ATCCTCTAAACCCTCAAGCTACAGACGGGCGATGGTCCCAAAGGGGACAGGGCATGGTCGATTCAAGCCCACCCCAGAGCCCACCCATTCACTCATTGACTCACTCATTCATTCGTCCGCTCAATAAATATGAACTACAGCTAGAGTCTGCCTGGCCGGGATGTTGGGGACACGGGGCAAGTGCCAGTTCTCCCGGAGCTTCCTGGGGAGGAGACACGCAGGTAGTTAATAGTTAAACAGATGGGTAAACAAGAGAGCTTCAGGTTAGGCGTTGCGGGCCATGGGAAAATGAAAGGGTATGGAAAAGTGACGGGCTTTTTCAGTCTGAACGGTGTCTAGGCTGGGGGACCCCGTTTCCACCTCCTCAGCTCTGGGGGCTGCACTCCTCGCCCTGCCCTCCCTCTTCAAAGCCTCCCGCTGCCTCTGGGCTCACAGGCCTGTCTGACTCTTGTCCCCGCTGCCCTCACAAGGGCCTCTGTGATTACGACGGGCCCACCCGATATTCCAGGGGCATCTTCCACCTCCAGCTCCTCAGTCCAACCTGCGGAGTTCCTCCTACGCGTGAGAGGACACATTCCACAGGGTCCAGGCATTAGGGCATGAGCCCCTTTGAGGGTTATTCTGTCTGCACCCCCACACGTTGGTAAAGCAGACCGGGGGATCTGGAAGCTCTTCTGGGACAAGGTTTGGCCCTCACAGAGCTGGTATTGGCTCAGGAGCAGCTGAAAGGGAGGACAAGTGGGCCACCTCCTGCACTGCCCTGCCTGGGCTCAGGAGGTGGGATTCCAGCCTGAAGTCCTTCCCCCCACACACCTGTTCCCCGAGGCTGGGACAGTCCAGGTCCTGCAGTGGCTGCTGGGCCCCTATGGAGCCTGCAGCCCTCCTGGAGAGTGGCTGGGATGCCCACATGGCCCAGAGATGCTGAAAGGACTGGTCCCACTGTGTCTGTCCTCTCTGGCACCCAGCACCCATTTCCCCACCAGCATTCACAGGCCGCCTGCCTGGTGAGGAGGGGCCCTGGAGAAGCTGTATAAATGCAGCGTCCCCCACATTCTCCACTCCCCAGGGTGGAACCAGGAGGCAGGGTAAAGGTGTAGAGATGAGGTCCCTGCTGAGGCTGCTCTGCGCCCCCCACTCTGCTTAACCATTTCTAATACAGAGCCCTTCCAGGTGAGTCCCACTGCCCTCCCATCCAAAGGTGAGGCTCAGGGAGGGCAAGTGGTGGCGTGTCAAGGAGAAATGACTCAAATGCAAAAGGACCAGAATCCCACCCGCCTGGAGAGGACGAGGAGGGAAGTCACCACCACCACCAGGAAACAGAGGTGACGGGCCCACCCTCCAGGCCATGGAGAGAAAGTAGACCCCACACAACTGCGACATCAGACTCAGGGCTTGCATGGGGTTCCACTGGGCCCCACCCTGCACACCATGAGAAGGTGCCTGGGTGATTGTGAGGACATTCCAGGAAGGGATGTGCCTGCTGCACGGGACACTCATGGCCTGGTGTCCCCACCCTCTCCCTGGGGGCCAGCTGGCAGTCTGCTTGGACACAGAGAAGTACTAATCCCCACCACTTGCAGGCCCTGTCCTGGTGCCCACCTCGCTGTGAGAGAGCAGACAAGGCGTTCACCTCCCCGCCTGAGGGTGGAAGGGCTGGCAGGTGACCTTCCGGGACATGAACAGGAACTGGAGCTGTGCTTCTGGGGGGCCCACAGTTCCACATGTGGTTCTTTCTTCCAGGCAATTTAGAAGCTGCTCCAAACAGCTTGCCTCTGAGAACTTGTTAGTGATTCCTTCCAGGCTTCTGCGTAGGTCCTGTGAGGAGCTGCCCGGGCTTCTCCTCTCTTGCTCAGCGGGGCTTCCACGCCCACAGGCGGCCCTTCTCCCAAGCTGGGACACAGCTGCCTGGTCCAGAGTCACGGGAGCAAATGAATTCCAGCAAGGGGCGCACTGGGCGTTGGTGCTCCTGGGTTCCAGGCCCCCACCTGAGCATAGCATCATCACCATCACATTATTATTACCTTCATCTCACCACGTGTCAAACAGCACCCACAGGTCCCAGCAGAGGTGGCCATGGCGTCTTCTTCAGTTCAGGAGATGCCTCATACTCGTAAAGTGTGCCAGTTCCAGGTGCTGGAGCTGCAGGGGCTGCCCAGCCAGGGAGGGAGGAGGGCAGACGTCCATGAACTTGGTGGGCGGTTCCAGTGGGTGCCAGGCGCCAGGACAGCAGGACCACCTGTCCCAGAGTGCCAGCACTGAGGGTCCCTGGGGCGGGATCCCAAGCAAACTGGACAGTTGGCCACCTGCGACCAGGGACACAGCAGGGAGCAGGACAGTTGGGTCCTGTCCCTCTGGAGAGTCACCTCTTTCTCCCGGGGAGGCAGAGAAATAAGCAGTCACCGCTGTGAGAGCCAGTGACCTGGAGGCCCAGAGGCAGCACTCACCCCAGACCATGGCAGGGAAGGCTTGCCTGGGGCCTCTGTCCCCTCGCTGGTTCCCCCACCCTGAACCTGTGAAGCCAGGGTCATTACCCTGGTTTTTCAGATGACGTAAGGAGACTCAGGTTGGCAAAGGGCCTCCCCCATGATGAAGGGTAAGGGTAAGGCCAAGACCCCAGCCCAGCCTTCTACTCAGCCTGGGGCTGGCCCTGTCCACCACCCCTGCAGCCCTGGCCTGACCTTGGGTCCACGAGTCCTCCCCCCTCTAGAGAGAAGGTTCCCACCAGGAGCTGTGTTCACAGCCTCATCTCCCCCTCCCCATTGCCTGGGAGCAGGGAGGGGCTGGGAGGGCTGTGCAGCGTAGCCACAGGCCAGTCCTCAGCTGCCCTAGCGAGCCCCACACAGTTTTCTGCAACAAGAAGAGCAGAGATGTAGCGATCCAGCCCCCAAACTGATCTGCACGTAATCAGATCTTTCTCTTGATGGACCAGCAACCGAGGCTCCCTACACCAGCTCTCGCCACGTGCCCCTTTTGTTTCAAGAGGTTCAGCCTATGCCTGGTCCGGTTCACTGTTCAGCATACATGACTAGGCCTGGCCTGAGTGGGGACAGGGACTGAGGACCGGTGGGCACCATCCTTACCCCTGGAAGCCATTGTCCTGCCAGAGCTGGGGCTCAACATACAAGCCCCTCAGATGTCTGCCGTTTGCTCAGTTAGGGGGACAGGGTTGATGCCCGGGGGTGAGGGGGACCCTCTAGAACCAGAACTCACACCTCTTGCACACTGTGTCCCACAGGGCCATGTTGCACAGCGGTTATATCTCCTTATAACTGTTAGCATTGCTTGGGAGCTACAGTGACTTGCCTCTGATCACACAGCTACAGTGGTCAAGCTGAGGTCCCTCTGATCCCATCTCCTATGCTCAGCAGAACAGAGCAGCCAGGAGAAAGAAGAGCCAGTCATTCTGCACACCTACTGGGTGCCAGGCACCCTTGAAAGTACTTTATGTGCACTGTGGACAGATCCATGGTTGGGGACCCAGTACCCCTAAGTTTACCCAAGACTGCTCAGACTTAGCTCTGGTGTCCCTGCACACCCCAAAGTGTAAGATGCAGCAAAAACAGGGTTTTGAGGGCAAATCGTAGCCTTAAAAACATATGTTGATAAAGAGAATGGTGTCCTCTCCAGTAAGCTCACCCTGATGGCACCCAGGCCTGCACTGAGTGGAGGCCATCTCCTTTGGGCCCCAGAGGAAGCACCCCATCATACACACCTTGCTCTATCAATGTGGTCTTGCTTGGTTGAACACTTGGCTTACCTCACCTTCTCTTGCCCGATTGTGAACTTTCTCAGTGTTGGGACTTGTGCATTTCTGAACTTCTCATCGCTTTGGCTGTGGATGCTAGCAGGGGTGAGGGGGCGTGGTGATGAATGTTGACTGAGTGAGTGCTGTCCAGTGACCTCCACAGCCTCTCCCCACTCGCCCACCACCTGTGATGGGGTGGGAGCAGGTTTGGTGAGCTGTGTGCTGGGAGGTGGAGTACTGGGTGGGGTCTGCACCTGGGGGAGGTGGGGTGCTGCAAGATGCAGGCCATGGAGCCTTCCTGGAGGGCCATCTACCCTAGGAGCAGCCACTCTTAGATGCGTTTTTACATTTGTCCCAATAATTCCATTTCCAGGACTGTATCCTAGGCATGCAGCTCCGAATTCAGGCAAACTTACTGTGCAAATGAGGATACAACCTAGATGTGGTTGGGGGGGATACATTTTGGCTTGTTCCTTGCATAGGATCTTCTGCAGCCTTTGAAAACATTCTCAGAGCTGTCAACATGCGGGACATGCTAACTGCAGCTTGCCACCATGGCCAGTTAATCAATGAGGGTGCAGAGACACAAGGAGAAAGTCCCTGTGATGCTGAGAGTGGCAGTGGGGGTGGGGCTGGGGCTATATGGGATTTTTAAAAAATTATTTCTACTTTTGTAAACTTTCTAAAGCTTTTACAATGTGCTGTAAAAGCTTATGATTTTAAAGAAACAAAATATGGGGGGAGGGGAGGCTTGATGTCCCAAGGCTTTCCTGGAAAAGTGGATTTGGAGGTGAACTTGGAGGAGGGTCATTGACCTGCACATACACCCCCCCCCACACACACACTGTCACTGTCAGTAGAAGTGTGTGTGGCAGAAGCCCAGCCATGTGCCCACCACTCTTCATCTTGGGGGACTGTGGCCGGAGCTCAGCCCTTCCAGGCGAAGCATCTTGGAGCCCCTCCTGGACGCCCAAACAACCGAGGGGTCCTCTCAGCCTCTCCAGTGTGGCACAGACCCTCCCAGAGCTCTGGCCCCCATGCCTGTCCCCACCAGCCTGCACATCAAGAGAGCAGGCACTGGACCCTGCGTCTGTGCCCCAGCACCCAGCCTGGCACAGAGCGGCGCAGCCTTGGTGGATGGAGGGGTGAGGGGATAAGTGAATGAATGAACGAATGAATGAATGAACAAACAGACAAGAGAGGAAGGACACCTAGGTGGTGTCCCTGACAGTCTTGTGTCCTGTGTCCTTTGCAGATGTGCTGGTGGATGGACAGCCGTGTGACTGCGAGGCGGCAGCCTGCCGGGTGGGCGACCCCATACGCCTGGAGGTGCGGCTGACAAACCGGAGCCCACACAGCGTGGGGCCCTTCGCCCTCACCGTGGTCCCCTTCCAGGACCACCAGAATGGCGTGCACAACTATGACCTGCACAGCGCCATCTCCTTCGTGGGCTCCAGTACCTTCTACCTGGATGCGGTGCGTGGTGGTCGGGGAACTCCATGTTGCCCTGGTGATGCCCCACTGTCCCCCAGCCCTCTGTGCTGACCCTCATCTGTCTGACTCACCCTAAGGACTTAGCTGCCTTCTCTGCATCCTGAGTCCTAGGGGTGAGACCAGGGTGGTGAGACTCCGCCGAGGGTGTTCAGGAGACAGGCGAGTGGAGGGGCTGGGGACAGCTGAGATCCTGCTCTCACTGTCGCCCTGCCCCACGCAGCCACCTCCTCCATGCCTAGTGGTCACTGCAGGGGCCCAGAGGGACTGATGAAGTCACAGCCCACTTGACCCCACCTCCCAGCTGCACGCAGCACGGTCCTCAGGCTGCACCCACCATGAAATGGGGCCTGCAGCCCAACCGTCCCTGTACCACCCGAACCCCGAAGGACCTATGGAGGGAAGTGCTATTAGCGCCTCCCAGAGACAGAAGCCAAGGCTCAGACAGGCGCAGTGACTTGCCTGGGGCAGCACACAGGCGAGGCCCCCACGTCCGGGCAGGTGTGGGGTCTCCTGGTGGTTTTGGGGCCCACACTGCTCTAGCTGACACCTCTCCCTCCTGCCGCGCAGGTGCAGCCTTCGGGCCAGTCGGCCTGCCTCGGGGCCCTCCTCTTCCTCTACACGGGCGACTTCCTCCTGCACATCCAGTTCCACGAGGACAGCAGGAGCAAGGAGCTGCCACCCTCCTGGTTCTGCCTGCCCAGCGTGCATGTGCGCGCCCTGGAGGCACAGCTTTGAGCCTCAGTCTGGGTCCCTGTTTCTGCAGGGAGAGGCCAGCTTGGCCCTCACCTGGGCAGGGGGCAGAGCCTTTGCTGTAGCTCCCGTCCCTTCTCCACCCCTGCCCCTCCCTCTCCCCCTCCACCCCTCCCTTCCGCAGCGCCTTTTCT